GTTGTTATCTGTCCTGAAATTTTAAACCCAGTAAAAATCACAGCTACTTGCAGACCTTTCTTTGCCTCTTGAATTCCAAGACTGTCCACATTAATCCTTCAGCTTTATTAGTACTACCACTGAAGGGACGCTCTTAAAGGACCAAATGTTGTGACACAGTAGTAACAGAACCTACTTGCCTACAGTAATGGCTCAGAAAGAGCAAAACACATCCCCTCTCTAAACAAAAGTCATTAGGAAAGTAATACTACAATTACCGTGACAGAGCCTTTAATTCAGATGTTTTCAACCGTGCATTCAAACAAAAATAAATTTGCGGGAAACAGCTGTAATAAATGTGGGTAATTAATAGCAGTTTGTTGTTTTGCTGTCTAGTCAGCTCAATTTTACCTTTTCAGTTAATAATGAGGAAATAATTTCTGAGCTCTGGGGGTTAATGGTATGTAACCACTAGAGCTGCTAATTACATGTTACAAACTATTTATCAGAATTGCCATCTGTGCTGCATGATGGCTTTCATTGTGCACGCTAAATTACTTTTTGGATTATCTTTGTAAAGCAAGTTTTGGTAATTAGAAGCCTATGCTAGCGCTTTTGGGCAGTGCCAACACAAACCAAAAAAAGAGAGGGAAAAAAAGGAGACTGGTTAATTTATACCTGACAAAACATGTTGCATGAACACATTCCTCTGGAAGCTCCTTCCTGGAGGAAAAAAAAGATAGCTCAACTCCAGCATGTAAGAAAGAATCGAATTCAAAAATAAATTCATCTTTATTCTTTAAGGTCACTGTTACAATGGCACTTTTTTTTTGTTGCTGCACATTTTTAAATCACAGGTTAACTGAGCCCAAAGTAAAACCTGAAAGAAGCCTGGAATTGGGCGAAACTTTTTAAAATTTGTCTATTTGATCAAATATTCAGACACAAAAAGGAAGGGGTGACCTGAGCAGCTAATTGGCCAAGGTGAATTGTCTTGTGCTTCAATATATATTTTGAAGGCCCAGGCAAAACGGAGCGACCTCAGAAATCAGGCAGCACACGCCATCTTGGCACTCTCTAAATCTGATTATCATTACCTTCATTATAAGACTCACTTCATTATAAAACCCAAAATGCTTGGCTCCCAGGGACAGTGGATTAATAAGGATGGGATGTATTTTAAGCTGTAAACTCTGCTCACTGTCCTTAATCTTTTCTGTACTTCTGAAGCCAAATTATCACCTCTCATCAGGTCTGACGGGACCTCATTAACAAAGTTACAGGGGGGCTAACTTATGACAGCCACCTTCACTGTTAACCCTTTGAGCTCTCTTGTACTTTCAAGCCTCAGTAACTAGGTCGTCTGGTGGTTTTAATAAGTGTTTTGCGTTAGTTGCAATTAGTGAGAAAGTACAGATAAAGAAGGGGTCTACATTAAAAAAAACTGTCATGTAGAGTGTAGACATTATTTCTAAAGCTTCAAAGCAAAAAATCTTTTTTTTTAATTATGAATTGCTCTATGGAACAAGCTCTTATGCCCACAGGAACAAATGCGTGCAATGAACTACAGCTTACTGATTAACACAATGGCGTTAGAATGTGTTCAACTCAGGATCCTTCAGTGAACTCTTGAGAACCCCCCAACAGCTATTTTCATGATCTGCATCTGTTAAATGCTGTTAAATGCTCCAGGCTCATCCAGCCTTGCTGTTCGGTCCTGTTATAACATTTGGCACAAAATACTTTGTACAGAACAGAAATACTGCTTCCATCACTCCGAGCTTGTCAGATTTCTAGGTTAAAAGATCAATGACTCTTTGTAAGTACAGTTCATCAGATTAGGCAAGCTGCTATAAATTAAAAACTCTTTGTGGTAATTCAGTGAACAAGCGCCACAATCATTCCACTTTCAAATGCGACTCTACAGCTGGAGAACATTTTCTATTAATGACAAGCAGCTGATCCATTTACGGAAGTCTGGAGTGCAGTCTTAGTAATTGTCAGAAAATAATTTGATATTTTTTTCTCTGCGCTTTTAATATATTTTAGAATGCATATGTGACTCTTACAGTTCCAAGTCTTTGCCATTTTGTATATTTCAGAATGATTATTTATGAAAAGAAAATTGAGCAGACTGTCGTAAGGTAAAAATGTGTATACAGTATGATGCATTTGTAATTTTAAAAATACAGTATGTCAGAAATGAATGCATTCAAAAGCCAACATTGAATTTTTTAACAGGAGTCCATCCCTAAAGCCTTTCCCTACCTAGACCACCCTGACGCCTGATTTCCTTAAAAAAGGCTTACCAAAGGTCACCAGTCCTGCATGGGAGACAAAAGCCAGATGAAAGTGGTTTTGGTGGACCAGTAGGTGACACAATTTTCTCTGGACCAGATATTAATAGTAACTCTACTACTAATAATAAGAATTCCTTACACTTATATGGTGCTTTTCTTGACACTTTACAGGCAGTGGGGACTCAGCCCTTTCACCACAAATGTGCCCAGCTCTCAGTGGGGAGGAAAACAGAGTGATGGAGCTGATTGATAGATGGGGATTATTAGGGGGCCATGATCAGTAAAGGCCAGGGGGAAACTGGGCCAGGACACTGGAGTTAACACCCCTATTCTTTTTGAGAAATACCCCGGGATTTTTAATGACAACGAAGAGTCAGGACGTTGGTTTTACGTCTCAATCAAAGGATGTCTCTTTTTTACAGGATGGTGTCCCTATCAGTATACTGGTGCACTAAGACCCATACGGACTGGGTAAGCGGTCCCTACTGGTCCTGCTAGCACTAGTAGGGAGAAAATGGGCATTCCAATATGTTCTAACTTTAATGGGACATCAAATTCAGATCCTGTTCACACCGTTCACATTAAAAATCCCATCTCACTTTTCACAGGAGCACCTGTGGTAACCTCATTATCACTGCCAAAAATCATTTAGAATTTCTGGTTTAACTAAAGGTTTATAGACGTTTTGCAATTCCAACCAAACCCTGGGACGCTCTGGAAGGGTTCTTTTTAAGAATCCAGGTTGGAGGATAAATAAAAATGACATCCCTTTGACTTCAATGTTGAGATGACAGTTTCAGTACCCTAGCCTACCATCGCCTCACTGTTAAATAAATCCTTTCTACAATATTCATATGTCCAATTTACCGGGAAAAATCTTGATCTCCTGAACATAATTAAATTGTGCCTGTCGACTGAAAAGCAGACTTTAACCCACATCAAACACATTTTTCAATTCAAAGGCGGCAAATTAAAAGAAGCAGACTGTCCCACATGGTTTAAAATATATGTACTTCACAAAGCCAGCTACCTCCTAATTTCAACTGCTGCTGAAGCTTAATACTGTGATTTTAATTTAAAAGAAAAAAAAACAGGTGGAAAACCAGGCAAAATCATTTTGCAATGATTTCCCTTTGTGAACAGAGTCCCTGAAAGACATTTATAGGTCTTGGTTAATGGCTAACATTAAGACTGAAATACATTCAGAGGAGCAGCAATTTCTTAAGGGGATAGTTATTCTAGTAGGGATCTTATTACAGAAAAAAGAATGTTAAACTATAAAACTGAACAATCTAAAAGCAGTTGGCTGCATAATGTTACAAACCTATAGGTAAAAAATTAACTCAACAAGACACTTTAAACACAATCTCTAGTCCATTTCAGAAAATTGAGCAGTGTTCTGCTTCAGTTGAGTAGTTCAAAATATCTCGTTAAAAGCTCTTTGTAATAAAGCAGGGGTACTGTATAATGGAAACAGAATTTAAATCCTAAAATCAAAACTAAAGGTGTAAGAGTAATAATTTAATAATCCTTCTTGGCACCTTAAATTGTCAATAAAACTGTTAGTATCTGAAAATAAAGCTGGTAATAACATTTTCAGTAACACGCTTTGCTACTAAAATAGAACTCAGTTCCAGAATGAGCAATTTACTTGGCAGTCCTACTGAGTGTGTACAGAGTGCGAATGATTACATTTTCTAATCTCCTGACTTTCACCTCCATCACGGAAATGAAGAACACCTCTAGGTCCCCACCTTTAGACCAAAGAACACTTTCACAGTTCAGATTTCTGGATGGTCTATATATGATCTTTTTTAACAGGTTTACCTGTTTATTAGATTTTGTTCTGCTCCCAGGAAGATGTGGACACAGGTACTGTATATACGCTTAGATATCCAGGTACTAAAGATCTCAAAATCCAAACTGTGATTTAGTAAGTGTAAACCGCACAGTATTTTTTTTCTTCACGTTTGCAGACGAAAATTGGAAAAGCTATCACCTCAAGGTGTTATGTTCTTTAAATTATCATGTGTTTTTATTGGGTTTTGGACTGAATAAAAGGCAAACGCGTGGCAAACAATGATTATACAAATCGACTTTTACAAGCACTTTTACAAAATTATGACACAAGTACTGGATAAAGAAAACTTTGATTAAAATCGACAAATGCTCCGCTATAAAGTGCCAGTTACAAAACATGAACTGGATAGTGTTTATCTTTGTGGTCACTAACATTCTATCATAGGCAAAATACTATCACATTTTGCATTACTTTTCTGGATTAAAATGCAATAGATTTTAAAATACAGAATACTTTGGGTTGCACCCTCAATTTGATACTGGAGCACCATTTGTTTCAATATAAATTCAAGCAGTTATTATTTATAAATGCTTTATAACATGTAATATATATTAGCACATCATTATTACTGTGACAATGACGTGGTGGGAATTAACTTCTACCATGATTAATTGTGTTTGTATTAATAAACTGTTTCCATACTGTACGTAAAGAAAGGCTTTGTGAATGCAGGATTCTGTATCAATCGCATTTGTGTTATGCAGCTGTAAAGCCTCATTTGCAACTCTCTAGACTGAAGTGTTTCCATGTTCTGCACGAACACAAACTGTGCTGCTCCGCTGAAATGTGGTTCCGCCATTGCAGGTTGAAAAAGCCAGTGGGGACGAAATTATTACTCAAGTCGGTCTTGAAAGACTCACCTGGGCTTGGAAGCTCTTGAGCACAGGGGCCACCATCTCCCGGACGTCCTAGAAGACAACATGAACAAACAAGAGTTACGACACAAACCCTTTACAAAGAGGACAGAACGTGGAGGATGCCACGCAGAGCTGCTATCGTGCTTTCAGGGACCTGCGTGGCTAAGTGGGTATTGGTATCATACAGCTCAATTGGAGAAGACATACAAGTGTAGATCTAGCTGGGAATGGGAGACAGTCCCTTACCCTTCCTGAAGGGCAGTGGGAGAGTGGAACGAGCTGCCCAGCCACGTGGTTGAGGGCGAAGCTTTGACTTCTGTCTAGAAACAGCTGGATGGGAAAGTCGGATCGACAAACCTCTAACTACCAAAGGGGTTGGATGGGCCGAATGGCCTCATCTTGTCTGTAACCGTTTTTATGCTCTTACCAGAGGACTAAAGCCATTAAGCATGAACCAGGAGTATTCCAAAAAACAAGGCAGGTTGCTTTCCCACAGAAGACAAAGCAGCGTTGAACATGCGCCAGCTAACTTGATGGTTCTCGTCCAGTTCGAGTGCCTGGGCACTGACAATCTTTTGGCACAGACACCTGGTCACCGTCACCCCCCCAGTATGCTGGCATGGCTACACCACAGACCCTCCATTACGTTTAAGAAGTCTGTCCACACTGGGACATCGGTTACAATACAGCACTCATGTGTTCCTGGAGACAAGGGAATAAAAATAACAGGAAACTGGATGACTGGATGAGGCCTGTTTGAATTGCCCACACGGAAGCAAACAGTCCGACTCCTGGGCAGCTCGTGGCAGAAGCAAGCCAAAGAGAGGCACATAGCATTTGCCCCGACTCTGGCTCTTGAGTTATTTGTCTGATGAATAGTATGTAAATGAAAAGGAATTAATTGCGCAGTTTGTGCTTATTTCATTTACTGTATATGATATTACTGTGACTAGTAAAACGCTAAGGTTTTGGATATCGTTCATCCCTACAGTCCACTCTTTGTTTGTCAGCAGAATTAAAGTGCCTTTAATGATAAACCTCAATGCAACATCTCAAAGGCTAACCAAGTGTAACTGGGAGAAGACAAGGCCTGGACTGTTTGGTTTACAAGATCTACTACAGTAAATCTAGGTTGTAGATTTAGGTTTGGTCCATTACATCCAAGAGGTATCAGAACTGGTGTGCCAAACCCACATCTGCTTGGTGCTTTTCCTCAGTTTGGAAAGACTGTGTCTCCATTAAAACACTACCAGCACCACAGTAACAAAGAACCAGGCTATCCTGCGGCAGGAGTACATAATGGAATGCGCGAAAGATGATTAAAATCCCAAAGGGGAGCATTTACACTCGGCATGTTGTTACCGTTGTTACCGTGTTAATGACCAAGACGTTGAGCAAGCCACTGGCTTTCTGTTTTCCAAAGGGCCAAGGACAGATTCAGCCACCTCCAGTATGAAACTGGATTGACCCAGCACAGGACTAGCCCTGAGTGAGCCCCTGTGACACCCAGCACTCTGAGTGCCTCTCCGAAGGTCAGGCAGAGGGGGGGGTTAATCTGGTGTGAGAACGAGCGATTTACCTCCGGAACATTCCTCTTGAATTCCCGACTGAGTTCAATCAGACGCTTGTGAGAGTGCTCGCTTTCTTCCTGCCGGCCAGCCAGCTCGGAGGCCACCGAGTTGAGCTCTTTCTGCACGGGAGACAAACAGGGAAAAAAAGAGGCCTGAAAACGGCAGCCATGTTCGTAGAGGCGTACAAGTGTGCGCATATAAATACACATACTGTACCATTCTGTGCGTGTAATCTAATCTCTCGAGCTCTCCACAACAGAGGCGATGCTTACTGCAAGCAGAAGCAGTCATAAATAATTAAGCAACAATAAATTCAATGTCTAAAGAACCAAGAGGCCTTTTAGATAATCAGTATTAAAATAATCAATAAGCCTGCTACAGCATCAGGGTCCTTGCAGAATAAAGGGAATTAAGCAATAGACATAAATCACCAACATTTTCAACAAAATCAAAATTAACTACATAAATAAATACACAAATAAATAACACAGAGCTAGGGACCTTAAAGTAGAAAATGCCAGGGGTCTTTTCTAGTGGCCATGGACAGCCTGAATTACCAAACACACCTAGCACTCATAAATCAGCTTCTGCCCAGAGTAAAAAAATGTCTCTTTAATTTCCACTTTAAGAGAGTTTAACATTAAAAGATGCCGATAATATCTTCTCCAAAGAGTCCCTCAGTGTACAATGCATGTCAATCACATTTAAGGGAGTGCACTGTCAGTCTTACAGTCATTACGAGTGGCCATATAAACCTGGTACTTACATGTAACCAAGAGAGAGACAAAAACTACAACATAAAACAAATTATGCTTGAAGACTACATATGTCTCTGAGCAAACTTCTCACCTCCCTCACCTAATCTCTAATCCTCATATTCATGCCACCCTACATTGAACCAAAAAACTCATGATTGCATCATGTTACCCAGCTTCCCTCTAAAGACCTGAAACATACTGTAGGATCCAGATACACAAAGAGCCTAATAACACTTCTGATTCCACTATCTCCAAGACATACTTTTAGTGTGCAAAGAAACTAGACCAAAGACTCCTAGCTCACCAAAAATGTTTAAATGCTTCTAAAGAATCGCTACATCATGGTTTATTCTGGAATATAAAGTAGAATTAGGATGAAGCTTCTGTTATCACTATGTACCCTTGTGGTGTGCAAAACTGAAATCTGCTGCATTTCAATTAATAAAACCTGTACTAAAAGGTGATTTGGAAATGATCTAATGAAACTCTTCTCTCTTCATGCATCTGTCAAAATTTAAAATATCAATGCAACATTTTTTAAAAGCAGTAGAGTATTTGAAACCCCAAAGTTTAGTAGAATTTCATTTTAATAATGTTTTCTTATAACAAGCTGGGAAAATAAGTGGGCTGGGTGTGTTTATTCAACATGAGGAAGTAAATGCACCGATTGATAGAACAAGCTTTCTCTCATAACTCCATGGATTGCCAAATTAAATACAGCCTACAAAAATACCCCACAAAAAGCCTTTTTTCAGGGTGTTTTGTGCTGGCATTTCTCTCACGCCACAGAGTCAGCTGTGGAAACCAAACGTTTGATTAAATCATCCAATCAGCATATTAAGAAAGTATTTTCTATTCCTACCTGTTCCTGCCCCACATTTTATGCTCTTTTGTGTCATGTCCAATTACCAATCATGTATTTATCTGATCTTCATTTCCCTTCTACATGACTTATAATTTAAAATGCTGGCATGCTGTAGCCTGAAGGCTGTTAAAACTATACAAAGAAAGAGAGGGACAACCAGCCACATTGTGATCTGCAATTAAGGTAGTTATATATCTTAACCCTGAGATTCCCAGTCCTGGTCCTGGAATTCCAGGCACCTGTTTGGTTTTATTCCAACCAAGCTCCTAGTTATTCAATTGACTAAATGATACTCAAGTACTTAATTATTAAGTGCCTTAAGAATAGGTTTTATTTGAGCGTTTTAATGTTTTTTAGTTCCTAAACATGTAGGAGGTTGCCTCTTAACTACTGCATTTCATAAGTAAAATAAGAACTAAGTTGGAAATGTTCCAATCAAGCAGCTTATTAGATCAATTAAGGCTTCGATTTGCCAATTACACTCATCTGGAATGAAAACCAGCAGGTATGTGTGCCCCCAGGAGCAGGATTGGATACCACGTCTTATGTGCTTGTGCAGAGGAGATATTCAGTTCTGTTTTGCCAAGCCCTGCTTGTTATCTTACAAAAGAGAAGCTGTGACCCCACAAAACATGGAACAGAGGCTTTTGCAGGTCCATAAAAGACATACCTGAGGAGCTTTCAAAATCCCACCTGTGTGATGATACGCTCTGTCAATCGAACCGTTTTAACTGTGAGGTTCTAAATCAGTGCTGTTTCCTCTTTATAAGGTGTTTGTTTGGCAAAATGCGAGGCCATTTAAAAGATGGTTCAAAGAGAACACAGGTATGGTTTCAAGAGAATCTCTTGGTTTGATCTGTCTTCCAGATGGGTCATATGCGACATCTGTATGAATCTCATAGGCTCTTACAAGCCCTCAGTACCCATGTATTTTAGCATGGTCTCTATTTAAATTGAGAAATATATTGTCTTTGTCTATTACCTCAGTGAAAAAAACATTTTTATTTCCATAAACATAACTACTATGTACCGTAGTACTATAATTAGTGATTATCACTGTAAAAAAGGTTAATATTTGTGATTCAAAGTGCATTCTATACTTCGACCTAGTTACGCAGGGACAGGTGTGCCTTCTTCATGGTCTATATCCTTCCCACTTCAATAAGCACACAGTAACTGCGACTGTTCCTTCGCAGCTTGAGGTAGACCATCAGAGACTTAGCACATTTTGTAACCACTGTGTGAAAGAAAATGGTACAGAGAAATGCACACAGCAGGGCTAGCACAGTTGGGAAGTTGTGCCTCTGGTCAATTGAAATTGCAGTCTATGAGAATTAAATTTAAGTACCTTTGGGCCCAACAATCTATGGTTTAATAACCCTTTTTCTAAAGGCCATATCTTTGGCCTACTAGTGAATGCTGTACTTCCGTCAGAATAAAGCCCCATTCTCCCTCATAACTATTCTGATCATTTTCACCCGTTGGTTAATTGCTTTGTGATACATAAGCTTCTGTTGCTTCCTCTTGTAGATTTTATGAGACCTAACTTACAAAGAAATACCACTTTACTATTCAGGTGCTTTGTATCCTCAGTCTTTGTGTGTCCACTAATCAATGCAGCAGGGCATCCTGTAGATTCACTAAGCAAATTCCTAGGAGACAATTGTGACGTTCCAACTCAAAACAAAAGAATAGTCCTTATATACTTTGGGATCTTGTAGTGACAACCAAGTGATAGAGAGGCTTTGGATATTTGTAGTCCAGTTAGAAAAGAGTTTGACAAGTGACATGGCAAAGCTTGTCTGAGTTAAACACGCTTTGAAATCGGGGATGATATTCTTATGACGTTGTTTCATTGCTGATTCAAAAAAGTCAAAAGATAAAGGGCTGTGGGAGTCTGGAACAAGCTACCAAGCCATGTTGCTGAATCCCTGGTTTCTCTGAAGAAATGGCTAAATGGGCTCATTGGATTGATAAGCTACTAGCCACCAGTAGATTAGCCAAAAGTCTTCCCCTCATTCGTAACCATCCTTGTTGTCACTAAAAGTAAAAAAGCATTGTCTTTACTCAAGCCTGGACCCTCATTAGGTTGGAATGTATTTCAATGTGTTGTATTAAGTGGACTGAGAGTATGTGGCTACAATCATTAATGGGACACTAGTCCAATGTAGGGTTACTTCAAGCAGTGATGGTTCACATTTATACAGCTGGATGGACTGGTGAAATCGCGATTACATTTCTGGCTCAAGGGAATAACAGCAGTATCTGAAGCAGGGATTGGAACCCACAACTTTCCAGTTATGTGTCTAGGAGCCAGCCACGTCCCCTTCCTGCTCCCTGTATTTCTGTATAATTAATCTTCACTCATCTGACAGGCCAGAAGAGGAGAAAATGTTTCAGCATCACTGGAAAGCACTAAAGAGCCAATCGGATAAGGGCTACCTCATGTACATACAGTACTTGCATGTTAAAGAAGCTCGCTTTATCTGAGCAAAACAGAGCAGCACCATTGTTTCGAAGACTTCCTTTTGAAAAAGAAAGCCAAAAGATCAAATTAAAAACGATTTTCCAGCGTGTTTTTTTGAAGGAAGTGAACCAGAACATTTTTTCTTTTGTTCCAAAGCGAAACAAAGACCTATTTAATATGTAACATTAGCAAGAGACTTTTGAGGAACGGTGATGCAGCCCATGCTTTTCAGTCTGGTGTTTGCAATTCCCCATTTAAATAGCATTTTCTTTCAAAGGAGGCATAGAACAAATGTGCCTTTCGTGAATAGTCCAAATCCTAAAATGGTAAAAAAGGCAGGCATAAAAGGCAGGATTCTCTCCGTTCTCACCTGATCTGAATAAAACACAAGTGGAAAAAGCAACAGCACATACACACAAACTTCAGATTTTTTAGTTAACATAAGCCGTTTATTAATAAGAGCAGTCCATTCAGCACCTCCATGCTAGAACCAAAGCAGGTTATTGGGCCAGAGCTCAACCTGGTTTCTGTGAAGTTGAGTGGATTAGAGAGCACATGGCTCTGCCCTGGAAGGTGCACTGGTCTGTTCCAGACTGATCCAAGAGTCTCATCTCGTTATTTGAAAGAATCTCAAGGAGTCAGCTTCCATTAGGTGGGCTACTGGCTTACACCTTTCAGGAACTCTGAACAGTTGAATCAAAAGTGTCATTGCCTGGATTAAGGGCCAAAGAGATTTGTGTCTCTCACCCTGTTTGTGCATTTCATCTCTTTTATCCTGTTGGATATCTTGTGCAGCAGTGCATTCAATCACAAAGCAGGGGAGCGAACTGAAATCCCGGTTTAGTACACCTGCACAGAGAAGATTCAGAAACTGTAGACGTACTTACTGTCGGGACATGTGAGCACGGAATACTGCAGGTTTAGCAACTAATATGCTTCCCTAACATTCAATTACATCTATTGAGTATGTGAGTCTAAATTTAAGGATGTCCACCCTTTCAAAGCTTTCGAATGCTTCCTGCTTTTTGT